AGTGAGCCTGCCCCTTTTGGACAAGAAATTCTCTTCCATCCCGCCAGTCTAGTCTCGAACAAATCAATCACCGGTTCTCAAGTTTTCTTCTCCTTGTACTTGGCACCCAGCGGAACCCCAAGGTACTTAATGGGGAGTTTTGCAGTTTTGCACCCCAACACCCTTGCAAAAGAGCAAACATCACCCTGGTGGCCAAGTTTGACAAGTTCAGATTTATCAAGATTGATGTTGAGCCTCGAGATGCCTTGAAAACATAGAAGGATGCATTTTAAATGCAGGAAGAATCGCTTTTTTGGTTGGCAAAACAGTAAGGTGTCATTGGCAAAAAATAAATGAGAAATTTCTATCACCTCGTCGCAACTGCCAATCTCCACACCTCTAAGAAGCTGAAGCTGTTTTGCCCTTACTAACATTACATTTAACGCCTCCATAACAACGATGAATAACAGTGGGGACAATGAATCCCCTTGTCTCAAACCTCTGGAGTCCGTAAAAAATTTGGATGGCCCTCCATTTATTAATACTGCAAATGAAGTAGTTCTCATACAAGTACTCATCCATCCGCTCCATTTATCTCCAAAACCACATCCTACACAGCAAGTAATCCACAAAGTCCAGCTCACATGATCATATGCCTTCTCCATGTCCAACTTACATATCAATCCTTCATTTTTGTTCGTTGTAAGATCTTCAACAATTTCATTGGAACCAAGAATCTTTAAAACTATCAAGACTAAAATCGACATCGTCAAAAGCCCTTTCGTTCTTTTTTTTTTGCTATATGACCCAAAAGGTGGTTAGAGGGATAAGACTTAAATTTCTTATCTGCATAAATGCCCTTCCAAGCATGAAACTCCTTTTTTAACTGAACCCGCAATGACCCAATTTAGCCCCAACAATCCATACGTCAAACTCTAAAACCAATGCGCAGATGGATGCCATAAAAGAACATGATTGCAAGATTCTGCAGCACTCTTACACAAGAACCGCTTGTTCACTAAGATCTTTTCCCTTCTAATTAACTTATCCCAAAGTTAGACGCTTTTACGAGCAGCCTACCAAGAGAAAAAAGCTCACCTTCTAAAATCTGCTTAGCTGGGAATTTCTCCCCCCAGTGCACAAATGCCTATAGAATGACTTCAATGAGAAGACACCAGAAAAGCTTAGCTTCCGTATGGGAGTGTCTAAGAATTCAATTTAACCACCAAGAAGGGTTCCATGAGCTTCATATATTCTGCAATCTCCTAATATTTCAGTTTCCTTATCAATTCCATACACCACACCTCATTACCTCTGGAACCTGCCAAGGATCGCCTAACTGTGACCTCCTCACTTCTGGCAGCAGCAAAAAAGATGTTGAGAAATGTTGAGATAATGAGCCCCCACTCCATCCATTCATCCTTCCAGAATCTCACTCTTTTCCCCCAACTTTAATCTCCCATCTTATATACTCCTTGACATCCCTTTCCCCATGCAAATTTTCTATCCACAATCCCACATCATGTGGACCATCTGGAGTCTCCAAGAGCCATTTCTGACCCTGCAACCCATATCAAGCCTCTATTTACCGTACTTCACAAACTCCCGTGCTCCCCCATGAATCAGCACTTTGCTTTTACATTACCAAACCTGAGTATTGGAGAGAGGTCTGTAAAGTTGTTTATAAGGATAAATAAGCAATCCTAAATATTATTTAATATAAAAAAATGAAGAAAATATAGAAAGAAAATGGGAAAGAAGGCGTGGAAGATATTGTTGGGATGAAGAGAGAGTTCACAATAAATTGCTAGTTTCTTCATCAAGTTATGTCTATTTAACATATTTCATAGTCTTTCTGGAGCAACTGAACTGTATTTGTGGAAATTTTGAATCATTTATTTAAGAGATGATGAAATTCTTTTCATTCCCCCCAAATGAACCTTTACTGAATAAACAAGTGTATGCATGTGTCTATGCATACATATATTTGTTTTCTATTCTGATGTGTTTGTTTCCTTAATTCACTTTTTAACCAAATTTTTGTTTTCTTGTAAAATTTTCTTGAAAGCACTCCAAATCTTTTCCAACTGAATATTCCCTTATCTTCAGATCATTTGAGCTCCTTGGATATTGTATTATTGTATTATTTGTCCCCTGTCTTTCATCTAGTTCGGGTCTCAACCTGATCAGGACATTTTGAAATTATATCTGAAATTTCCCTCTCTAGAATGTACATATAATTTGATGAACATCTTGCTGTGCAGAGACTACATAACTCCTTCAAGGAAAATAAATATCCTGACCGAGCCACAAAAGAAAATTTGGCAACAGAGCTAGAAATTACTTTTCGGCAGGTCAGTCGTATTCTTATTGCAAAACAATGAAGGTTATCTCCTCATATGCTTGTTTTTTAATTATGCACTGTTTGGTTCAGTTTTCATTCTATTTTTTGTTGGGTAAGAACTAAAATTCCACTCCCGAAAAATTCAAAGGAGTGAAATGGAAGTATAGTAAACATAAAAATTAAAAGTGAGAAGTAATTATAGTTGGCATGATAACTGAACCAAATGCGATCTTTATCCTTTAGTAAATTTCTCCTTGCTAAAAATTTCATTTTGCTTCAGGTTAGTAAATGGTTTGGGATGCCTCAGACTTCCTTTGCACAATTTCTGCAATATAACATCAATGCCCAAACAAATCATGTTATCATATTGAAATTGAAAAAGCATGTTTTTTTTATTGAAATACTGAAAAAGCATATATCTATACAATACAATCCATCATCAACATAGCCATTATCTATCAGTGTAAGAAAAAGATGGCTGCCAACAGAAAATACAGTAGTAAACTCCTCAAAATAAATATTTATGGATTTCTTATGCACTGCATCTTATTTGAAAAAAAAAAAG